AGAAAACATTTGAAATTTTAGCTTTAAGCTTGATTGGAAGGGAAACTGTGACATTTACATACATATAAAGGGACATCAGAAGTGTTGGTTTGGTAAATACCTACAACACACACACACACACACACACACAATGTAATTGGCTTGGGAAACTTAAGGTTTGAGATTTTGAGATTTAGGTGCAAAATTGAAGTGGATAATTGAGACTGAATATCAAAACATCCTCAGGATTACAGATATGATTGTGGCATCAACCACATGCTTGACATTTTGGGAGGTAATGAGGTCAGTTATGAAGAATGAATACTGAGAGAAAAGACTTATGGGTGTCTAAATAAAATAGAAGAACTAAGACAATACGATTTTAGCTATTAAGAAGAAAGAAGAGAATAGTATATGAAAGGGAGTTAGAAAAGTACCAAACTCAGAAAAAGGGAAAGCCTAGACCTTTGGAATTACAAAATAAATGGTCCTTGGTGACAAATATTTCAAAGTAAAGTGACAAGACCAGAAGTTAAGAGTGAAGGTAGGAATGATTGAAGGCTTCTTCTTTGAGAAGTGGAGTATTAATGAAAAAATTTTATTTTTAAAAAATAGTATTTTAATCATATTTTGTTTCCTATCCACCTTTCTTTCCATGCCTTTTATACCAACTTATATTTCATTTTCACTACTCAGGGTGAATTTTTATGTTTCTTTGTAATGTACAAGGTAGATACATACATGGGCATGAATTGGGGTATTTGCATTTTATATTTTTGAAGATCCTGCCAAGTTACTCATCAAAGAGGTTTTATTTACACTCTCACCTTTAAGAGACAGTATCTTTTACCCGTTCCTGGTTTCAGTTCTTTTAGTGGTTTCTCACACAATAAATATTAAGGAATCCAGAGAAACAGTGAAAGAGAGAGGGAAACACAAGGATCCTGCACCATTGTCGGTGAGTTTGTGTCCCTCTTTCCCTTCTGCAGAGTATCTGATATTTTACTTCTTCAAATGAGGTTATTGGTACTCCTGCCATTTGATTTTTAGTTTTTCAGAAAGTCATTTAAAATAGCTACAATATCTATTCTGATAATCATTTTCTTTCTTTTTCCTTCTTTGAATCATCTTTGATTTAAAAAAAAAATTCAGAACGCTCTCTTTTTAGTACACTGAGAATACAATTAGAGCTTTAGAAAAATTCTCTCCCTATTTTTCTTTCAATTCTGTTTCACTGAGTATCATTTTTTCTATTTGGTGTCCTTCTGTTAGATTCCTGGAGTGTTTTTGTATATTTAGCAGTTTTTCTCTACCTGCCTGTTCCTTCTGATAAAGGTCTAGTTCTAGCTATCCAATATGGTTACACTGGTCACATGGTTATTGAGCACTTGAAAGGTGGTCAGTCTGAATTAAAGAATGTAAAATGTCACACTATTTTTTTATTACATGTTGAAATAATATTTTAGATATAGTTTGTAAAATATCGTACTATTAAGTTCACCTATTTCTTTTACTTTTATGTTTTTTTTTTAATTTTTTTAACGTTTTTATTATTTTTGAGACAGAGAGAGACAGAGCATGAACGGGGGAGGGTCACAGAGAGAGGGAGACACAGAATCTGAAACAGGCTCCGGGCTCTGAGCCGTCAGCACAGAACCCGACGCGGGGCTCGAACCCACGGACCGTGAGATCATGACGTGAGTCGAAGTCGGACGCTTAACCGACTGAGCCACCCAGGCGCCCCTACTTTTATGTTTTTGATGTGGCAACTAGAAAATTTGACATTACATATATTGTTCTATTGCTCATAATATATTTTTATTGGGCAGTGCTGATCTAGTTACTTCAATATAGCTGAGAAGGAACCCATCAGAAATTGAAAAGACTCCTGGGGCGCATGAAAAGTGCTCAACATCATTAATTATAAGGGAAATGAAAATCAAAACCACAAAAATGTCAACGAGTTATCACCTCACACCTGTTAGGATGGCTGTTATCAAAAAGGCAAAAGATATCTGTTGGTGAGGACATGGAGAAATGGAAACCCTTGTACGCTTTTGGTCAATATATGAATTGGTACAGACATTAAGGAAAACAGTATGTAGTGTTCTCAAAAAATTAAAAATAGAACTGCTATATGACCTCACTTCTGCCTATATATTCCAAAGAAATGAAATCAGGATCTCAAACTTATCTGCATGCCCATCTTCATTGCAGCATTATTTACAGTAGCCAAGATATGGAAAAACCTTAGTGTCTGTAGATGGGTAAAGAAAACACACACACACACACACACACACACACACACACACACACACCCAATGGAATGTTATTCAGCATTAAAAACAAAGAAAATCCTGCCATTTACAAAAACATAGCTGAACCTGGAGGACATTATGCTAACTGAAATAAGCCAGACACAGAAAAACAAATATTGTATGATCTAACTTACGTGTAGACTATAGCAAGTTGAACTCACAGTGACAGAATGGTGGTGATGAGTGGCTGGGGAGTAGGGGGAAAGGGAGATATTGATCAAGAGGTATAAACTTTCAGTTATAAGGGTAAGTGCTGAAGACCTAATGTAAAGCATGGTAACTTATAGTTAATGTATACTTGAAATTTGCAGAGACCTCAAGTGTTTTCACCACACACACACACACACCCACCCACACACACACACACACACACACACACACACGATAACACGTAAGGTGATGAATATGTTAATTAGCTTGATTGTAGTAATCATTTCACAACGTATAAATATATGAAAACATCACACTGTACACCTTTATACATACAGTGTTGTCCGTCACAACTCAGTAAAGCTGGGGAGGAAGAAAAAGACTGATGGGGGAAAATGTGTAATAAGTAGGTCACAAAACCGTCAGCATAAGAATACAGTCATTGTCAAAACACTGATATACCAAATTGTTAACAGTGATTGCATCTGAAATCAATTATGTGTCAGCTTCTTTCTGAAGGGTATGATGAATATGGATGGGAACACCAGTGGCATGCCTGAGATATAGTAAGGAAGTAACTTGACAAAAGCAAATACTTAAATGTTATTTTTTTATTATGAAGTAGTTTAAATATACAGAAAGATATAGAGAATAAGAACCTACCTATAAACCAACAACCAGCTTTATCAATTTATAAGAATTGGCCATGTTTGCTTATTTTTTAAAGAAGTGAGTGATTAACAGATATCTCCTTTTGCATCCTTTTCTCAAGCTCATTTTTCTCCCCCTCCAGAGGTCACCACTGTTTTGGATTTAATTATTATTTCCATGAATGTTGTTATACTCAATCTATATGGTATTTAGCCATGGAAAATACACATAGCATCAATTTGCATATTTTCAAACTTTATATAAATGGTACCATATAATACAAAATACTGTCTAGTTCAATTTCATTAATATTGTTTTAAGATTTATCCATGCTGACAGAAATATCTCTACTTCATTCTTTTTAACTTGGGATCTAACTTCTATTCACCCTAATGGTTATTTTGATTGCTTTAAGCTTTTCATTCTTAAATAACACTGAAATAGACTTTCATGTATACTTCTCTAGACACATGAAGAGAGGAGAGACTATAAGAGGTTTAAGTGTGGAACTGCTGGGTCAGAGTATATGCATTTTCAACTTTACTAGATATTGCTAAATTATCCTAAATACAACTACTTCCAATAGCACTGTATGAACATTCGTACTGCTCCACATCTTTCCAGTAATTGGTACTATGATGCTTTTGCCAATGTAATGATTTTTAAATAGTTCACTATGATTTTATTTGCTTTTCCCTTACTGTAATGGATATAAACAATTATTCTAATAACCCCAAATGCATCTTTTCTCTATGGGTCTAAGCCATCTTAATCATATGCAGAATTTCTAGAAATAGGTCAGACTCGACAGCTGTCTTGCTTAAGAGTTCACACTTCATAGATGAATTTAGAACAAAGCTGTGAAATTAAAAGGAAAAAAGACCTGAGGAATTTTGGTTCTAATTGGAGTGAATTTGTGAATTAGGAATAGCTGACAACTTTTATTAGGCTGTCTCTTCAGCTTAGACCATATAATACTCCTCAGTTTATTATTTTTCATTTTGCTAGGTCTAGAAAATCTATTGTTTTATATTTAAGTGTTAATGATTTTAGCCTTTGAAATTTAACTCCATGAAGACATAGTCTTAGTATTGATCACTATTGTCTCCTTGTGTCTAAAACCATGTCCAGCAAATGGTACTCAATATTCACTGAAGGAGAAATTATATATATATGATATATATATGATATATATATATGAATATATATACATATACATATACATATATACATATATGATATATATGATATATATATGATATATATATATCATATATATATGATATATATATCATATATATATATTATATATATATAAAATATATATATAATATATATATATAGGAAACCCTATATATATTTGTCTGTAGCTTTTTACCCTTAATTCCTATTTGGTTTAAATTTTATAACCACTGGCTAAAACATTCACAAACTTTTTACTTTTTCTGTGGTGTAGAACAATTTAAATGCTTCTTAAATTACTTAGTTTCACCCATACAATTGCGTGGGCCTGGTATATTTTTATGGGACAGTATGAATTTCTATGTTTATTGGTTTTTTGGAGTTGTGATCCTCTATTCTTTTCTTGATCTAAATGTGAGTTCTGTATTCTTCTCAATCATCATTCTCCTTATATTGTTTATCCAATTCTCTTTAGAAACTTCCTAAAACTGGTTGTAGGTGTTAGTAGTTCTACTACTTGTTGTCTATCCTGATTATGTATCTAGAGTGCAAAGACTCCCACTTATGTTTCTAAAATTTTTAGGTTTTCTTAATTCTGACCTGCTGCTTCCCAGGGATGTTCTACTTTGTCCACTGAAGAATTTTGTTCTAGCTGTGGAGTAAGTAACTTAACATATGCTGAGTATGTAGAACAGTGCCTGGTGCAGAGTAGATACTCAATACACGTTAGCTATTATGATTTATTGAATATCTGCTATAATTGATGTGCTACGTGAAGCACTTTACATGCAAATTTATTCCTTTATATGCATCAGTCTACAACAGACACTATATCATTTAATAATCACAGTTCTACAATACAGTATCCTTTATTATCCCTATTTTAAGAATTAAAGAAAACCCTGAGGTTTAGATAAGTCAAACAAATTACTCAAAGTCGTACAATGCCACAGCAGTTGTAGAGCTGATTTTCCAGAATCTAAGCTCTTAGTCCTGGGAAGTGCCTAGTGCTCAGTGAAGGAGACTGGAATAAATAAGACTGAAAGGTATGTAAGAACCAGATAATGAAGCACCTCATAGACAATTTAAAGACTGAGGATGTTAGCTTAAGAAAATAATAAGCCAAAAAAGAAAAAAAAGTTTTAACTGGAGGCAGTGATGTATTCTTATACTCAAAAAAAGCAGTTTGGGGCATGGTGGGAATGAATTTAAGGGGATCAAAAGTTGATATAGGAAGACCTCTTGGAAAGCTACCGTATGGTGATTGAGGTGAGATGAATCTATGGTGACTTTAGAGATAGAAAAAAAAGAACATAAATTCTGGATATATTTATGAGATAGTGTCTAGAGAACTTGGTGATTGACTGGATTGGGTGGTGAGAGTGACTCCCCAAGATGGATTCTCTGATGATGAGCAAGGTGTGCATGCTGCCTGAAAGTTTTCTTGCATTCCTTACATTCATAGGGTCTCTCTCCAGTATGAATTCTCTGATGTTGGGCAAGGGATCCACAGTAACTGAAAGCCTTTCCACAAACGTTACATTCATAAGGCTTCTCTCCAGTATGAACTCTCTGATGCTGAGTAAGGGATGAGTCATTGCTAAAAGCCTTCCCACACTTAATACATTCATAGGGTTTCTCTCCAGTATGAACTCTTTGATGTTGGGCAAGGTAGGCAATCTGGCTGAATGCTTTCCTACATTCTTGACATTTATAAGGTTTTTCTCCAGTATGAATTCTCTGATGTTGAGCAAGATGTGAATTCTGGCTGAAAGCCTTCCCACATTCCTTACATTCATAGGGTCTCTCTCCAGTATGTATTCTCTGGTGTACAGTAAGGTATGCACGAAGGCTAAATGCTTTCCCACAGACATTACATTCATAAGGTTTCTCACCAGTATGAACTCTCTGGTGTTGAGCAATGGATGATCTATTGCTAAATGCTTTTCCACATTCAATACATTCATAAGGCTTCTCTCCAGTATGAACTCTCTGATGTTGAGCAAGGTAAGCAAATTGGCTAAAGGCTTTCCTACACACTTTGCATTCATAAGGTTTTTCTCCAGTATGAACTCTCAGATGCTGAACTAGGTGTGCATTCTGACTGAAGGCTTTCCTACATTCCTTACATTCATAGGGTTTCTCTCCAGTATGAATCCTCTGGTGTTGAACAAGATTTGATCTCTGGCTGAAGGCTTTTCCACATTCTACACATTTATATGGTTTCTCTCCAGTATGAATTCTTTGATGAAGAGTAAGAGATGAGCTCTGGCTAAAGACTTTTTCACAGTCATTACATTTCAAAAGTTTTTTCTCTGTATAGATACTCTTGGGCTTAATGGCCATTAAATTTTTTTTAAAGCTTTTCTTATGTGTATCATGTTTATGTACTTTCTCCTCTTTGGTGGTTATCTGTTGTGTATGAAGCAGTGTGTTCGGATGGAAATTTCCCCAAGATTTGTTATATTCTTGTGCTCTTTTATTAACAAGGGCTTCTTCATGAGTGATTGTCTCTTCCTTGAAACATGACTTCTGATTTACTGGCTGTGTCTCAAAATGGTCCTCACATTTCCATTCTTCTCTTAAACTGGAATACTCAAGGCCACAGCTTGTAAGTTTTTCTAGAATCTTCTGGGATGATTGTGCTTCATAAATATCTTGCTTTGAGGTTAATTCTTCAGTCTCACACCTAGATTCCCAGCCTGAAAAATAATTTAAAAACATGTCTCCTCTATGATGTACCAGAAGGAACATTTCTGAATTTACATTCATAAAGTGAAGTATGTGAATTTAATAACAAAATCCACAAGAACATTGGCTTTTGTAGTTCTGATGTTTGCAAGAAACTGAAAATAGATCATACAGAAACTTGAAGAGGAATGATTAGAAATTATAAGAAAATTAGTAAGGTAGGGGTGCCTGAGTAGCTCAGTCGGTTAAGCATCCAACTTCAGCTCAGGTCATGATCTCACGGTTTGTGAGGTCAAGCCCTTCATCAGGCTCTGTGCTGATAGCATGGAACCCACTTTGGATCCTCTGTCCCTGCCCCCCTCTCTGCCCCTCCCTCACACTTTCTCTCTCTCTCAAAATAAGCATTTTTTTTAAAAATCAGAAAGGTAAATCTCATGTCAATAAAGAATTATGGATATGGATGGACTTGGTTATAATTTTATGCATGTATGAATAATACAAGCACTGAAATAACATCCATTATTATAGTTGTTTCTTGCAAGAATATTTATCAAACCTTGTGCCAAAGTCTTCTAATGCTTTTGATATTAAACAAAACAAAGATCCTTACCTTTATGGACCTTATATTCTTGGGGGAGATAGGAAATAAATGCTAAATGAGTAAATTTTATTATATGTTAGAAGGTACTAAGTGCTTCAGAAGAAGAAAAGCAGGGTAAAAGAGATTAGGAATGTTGGTAAAGTCAGAGGTAGGAATAATTAATAAATTAACATTTAAGCAAAGATTTGAAGTAAGTGAAGAAGTCAGTCACTTAGATATTGAGAAAGAGCATTGTGGGCGGAAGAAATAGCCTAAAAGTAGAAGCACATATGATATGTTTAGGGAATAGCAAGAAGGCCAGTGTGTCTGGAGAGGTGTTGTAGGAGATGAAGTCAGGAAATAAAAGATAAGATTATTTAAGGTTTATATACTTTCTAAGGAATTTGGTTCTTATCCTGAGTGGGATGGAAAGCCACTGAAGTGTCTGTGGAGTAGAGGAGTGATACTTATGTACAGTTCAATGAAAATACTGAATGGAGGCAAATATGGAAGAAGTAAGGGGACCTATGAATGTAGTAATCCAGGTGAAGATGATGAGGATCCAGACCAGAGAGCTATCAATGGAGGTATAGTGAGGTGGCCAGATTCTAGATGTATTTTGTAGGAAATGCCAAGAGGATATCCTGACAGATTGGATATGGAAAGTAACAGTAAAAAGAGATGAGCAAGCCTTCAAAGTTTATGTCCTGAGCAATAGAAGAATGGATTAGCCATCAACATTGATGGGAAAGGCCATGGGCACAGCAGGTTTAGGTGGGGATATATGTAAGATCTGGAGTTCAGTTTTGAACACAATAAACTTAAAGTGTTAATTTTTATTTTTAAAAATATTTATTGGGGCGCCTGGGTGGCGCAGTTGGTTAAGCATCCGACTTCAGCCAGGTCGCGATCTCGCGGTCCGTGAGTTCGAGCCCCGCGTCGGGCTCTGGGCTGATGGCTCAGAGCCTGGAACCTGTTTCCGATTCTGTGTCTCCCTCTCTCTCTGACCCTCCCCGTTCATGCTCTGTCTCTCTCTGTCCCAAAAATAAATAAACGTTGAAAAAAAAATTAATAAAAATATTTATTTATTTTGAAAGAGAGAGATGGCATGAGCGGGGGAGGGGCAGAAAGAGAGGGAGAGAATCCCAAGCAAGCTCCACACTGTCTGCACAGAGCCTGATCCAGAGCTCGAACTCACAAACTGCAAGATCATGACCCAAGCCGAAATTAAGAGTCAGATGCTTAACTGACAGCCACCCAGCCAAGTTGATTTTAGACATTGAAATGGAAATGCTGAGAAGGCAGTGTTATGGACCCATAAGACTGAATTTAAGATAGAAGTCTGGACTAGAGATTTTAAACTAGAAATTGCCAGCATATACATGGCAGTTAAAGAGAATATATTACCAAGAGAATGAGTATAAAGAGAAGAGAAAGGAGCAAGTAATGAACCCCAGAGCACTCCAACATTAAGATATTTGGGAAAAGAGAACAAACCAAAAGAGACTAAGAAGGAACAAATGTAAACCAAAAAAATCATGGCTAAGAATATTAATATCACATGATATGAAATTAAATGTTGTAATGAAAATCAACTTGTTTTGGGGTGCCTGGGTGGTTCAGTCAGTTAAGTATCCAACTCCAGCTCAGGTCTTGATCTCACAGTCTGTGGGTTCAAGCCCCGCGTTGGGTTCTGTGCTGACAGCTCAGAGCTTGGAGCCTGTTTCAGATTCTGTGTCTTCTCTCTCTGCCCCTACTCCACTCATGCTCTGTCCCTTTCCATCTCTCAAAAATGAATACATGTTAAAAAAAATTTTTTTGAAAATCAACTTGTTCAATGATTTATACTGAAAAAGATTAAAATACAGAATCACAAAACACACACAGTACTGGAATATTAGTCAAGAAATGTCACAAAAGTTATAATAACAGCAGCTAATAATAATGACCATTAAAAAGAATTGTGAATATGTTGTGACTTGCAAAACACCAGAAATGAATCATACCATAAATAAAAGGCAAATAGAATGTAGAAGCTATGTAGAAGGGAGATTACTATACTATTTATACTTATTTTTTTTCAAATAAGATTGTTATCATTTTGCAACTTCTGAATCAATTTTAAAAAGCAATAGAGGAAGGCATAAAGAAAATAACATCAGGAGATAACTAACATTGACAACAACAATGAAGAGGGAAAATACCCTAAAAATAAACTTTGCGAGAAATGAGCAAAAAGCTTTACAATTCTAATGAGGGACCTGCCCCCCCCCTTAAATTTGAATAAAGGGAGAAGATGCATACTTTGTTTTTCTATATGAAGAACCAAAATGTAAAGCCATTAATTCTAAAATTAACCTATTACTTTCATTCAATTACAGTCAGAGCCTCATAGTGAATTTTTTAAAAAACTGGGTAATAAAGAATTTGGCAGGCTTTTGTCCATAGTTCCAAGAGGTAACCCTCTAACCACTCTAAGTTACTGGAAGGAGTATAATTGTGAGGCCCTTGGACCATACCTGATAGTTTAATATTTTATTTACTTTTGAGAGAGAGAGAGCACGAATGGGAGGAGGCAGGGGGCAGAGAGAGAGGGAGACATAGAATTTGAAGCAGGCTCCGGCCCTGAGCTTCAGCACAGAGCCTAATGCAGGGCTTGAACTCATGAGTTGTGAGATCATGACCTGAGCTAAAGTCAGACACTTAACTGACTGAGCCACCCAGGTGCCCCCATACTTGATAGTTTATAGCTATAGTTTATGACTCATGGCATGCCCCTAGATAGTTTTTGCTAATGTGATGACTTAGGATGGAGGCTAGCCATGCCAGAAAGACCAACCATGTGATTAAAGGGTTGGTGCTTTGAGCTATCATGGTATCAGTCTGGGAAGGGAAGGAGGCTGGAGACTGAATCACATTGGGCATTGGGCAATGATCCATTCAATCATACCTACCTAGTTAAACCAAAACACAAACAAACAAATAACTCTGTAACACTGAAGCTCTCTTGAAAGCTTATTCTTTTGAATATTGAGATGTCTGGAAGGCCCTTTCATGTTTGCAACTCTGCCAGACCTTGCCATTGGTGGCTGCGCTTTTGGCTGGTTCTTTGTTATCTTTTGCTACAATAAAACTGTAATCATAATATGGTTCTTTCCTGACCTCTGGAGGTCACTGTTGTGAGTTATCAAACCTGAGGGTGACTGTAGGCACCCTCTTATCTGTAGCCAGCTAGGCAAATGAGAGTGGCCCTGAAAATCCCCAAACTTGCAGAAACTATCTGAAATAAGCACAGTCTTGTGGAGCACCATTCTCTCAGATTTTTCAGTTTGGCAAACTGACTTCAAGAATTTTTTTTTTAAATCCTAAAGTTTATCAAAATAGTAAACATGTATCCAGGATAAGACTATATGCTGTCCATAAAACATGCATTAATAAATTAAAAAATTTTTTAATGTTTTTATTTATTTTTGAGAGAGACACAGAGCGTGATGGGGGAGGGGCAGAGAGAGACAGGGAGACACAGAATCTGAAGAAGGCTCCAGGCTCTGAGCTGTCAGCCCAGAGCCCAACATGGGGCTTGAAGCTGTGAATTGCAAGATCATGACCTGAGCCAAAATTGGATGCTCAACCAACTGAGCCACCCAGGTGCCCCCGTGCATTAATAAATTTTAAAAGACTGAAATCATACAAATTATCTTTCTCAATCATAATGAAATGAAACTTAGAAATCAATAGCAAAATAATACTGGAAAAATCCACAAATATGTGGAAATTAAACAACACACACTTAAACAACCAGTGGGTCAAAGAAGAAATCACAAGGTATCTTGAAACCAATGAAAAGAAAAATATAACATACCAAAAAGTATGGGATACATCAAAAGCAGTGCTAAAAGAGAAATGTAAAGCTGTTAATGCTTACATTAAAAAAGAAAGATTGCAAATCAACAACCTAACTTTACATGTGAACAAACTAGACAAAGAGCTAACTAAACCCAAAGCTAGGAAAAAGAATATACTGAAGTAGAGATCAACAAAATACATAGAAAAATAATAGAATCAACAAAACCAAGAGTTAGTTCTTCAAAAAGATTGACAAAACTGACAAACTTTTAGTTGGACTGACTAGGGGAAAAACAAGACTCAAGTAACTAAAATCAGAAATGACAGGGGCCACATTACTACCAATTATAGAGAAATAAAAAGGATTATAAGAGAGTAGTATGGACAACTGCATGCCGATAAATTGGATAAAACAGACAAATTCTAAGAAACACACAACCTTCTAAGACTGAATCATAAAGAAAGAAAACCTGAACAGACCCATAACTAGTAGGTTGACTGAATCTGTAATCCAAAACCTTCCAACAAATAAAGGCCTAAGACCAGATAGTGTCTGTGGTGAATTCTATCACAGGTTTAAGAATTCACATAATCCTCCTCAAACTCTTCCAAAGAAATGAAGAGGAGTGAAGACTTCCAAACTCATTCTATGTGGCCAGCATTACTCTGATACCAAAGTCGAAGTAAGATACCATAAGAAAACTAGAGACCAATATCCCTTTCGAGCACTGATATAAACCTCATCAACAAATACTAGCAAACTGAATTCAACAGCATATTATAAGGCTTATACACCATGACCAAGTTGAATTTGTTGCTGGAATGCAAGGATGGTTCAGCAAAAATTAATGTAACACACATTAACAAAATGAAGGAAAAAACTCAAATGATGCAGAAAAAGCATTTTATAAAATTCAACACCCTTTTATGATAAAAACACTGAACAAACTGGCAACAAAAGGAAACTACTTCAACATAATAGAAGCCATATATGAAAAGCCAACAGCTAACATCATATTCAATGGTGAAGGACTGAAAACTCTCCTCTAAGATCAGGAACAAGGCAAGAATGCCCACTTTGACCACTTTTAGTCAGTATAGTACTAGATGTTCTAGCCAGAGCAATTAGTCAAGAAAAATACATTTTAAAAATCCAAATTATAAAGGAAAAACTAAAATTTGTAGATGATATGCTCTTATATGTAGAAACACTAAAGACTCTACATCACCCCCACCACTTAGAATTAACAAATTCAGCATAGTAGCAAAATACAAAGTCAACACACCAAAATCAGTTGTATTTCTATGCACAATCAACAATCTGAAAAGGAAATTAAGAAAACAACTCTATTTACAATAGCATGAAAAAGAATAAAATAGGAATTAACGGGATGAAAAACTGGTACAGTGAAAAAACTACAAAACATTGCTGAAAGAAATTAAAGAAGATGTAAATAAATGGAGATATCCTGAATTCATGGTTACAACATTAATATTACTAAGACAGCCATACTACCTAAAGCTACCTACAGATTCAGTGCAATCCATATCAAAATTCCAATTATGTTTTTTTCAAGAAATAAGAAAACTTCATATGGAACCTCAATGGACCCTGAATAGTCAAAACAATCTTGAAAAGGAAGAAGAAAGTTGGAGATCTCACACTTCCTGATTTCAGAACTTTCTTCAAAGTTCTACAGTAATCAAAACAGTGTGGTACTGGCATAAAGAGACATACAGACTAATGGAATAGAAAACAGAAAGTCCAAATATAAACCCTCACATGTATAGTCAAATGACTTTTGATAAGGGTGCCAACAAATAGGAAAAACCCACAGCTAATCTTACTCTCATTGAGGAAGAACTGAGCACTCTTCCACTACGGTCAGGAACAAGACAGGAATGTCCACTCTTACCACGGATATTTAACATAGAACTGGAAGTACAAGCCACAGCAAACAGAAACCACAAGAAGTAAAAGGCATCCAAATTGGCAAGGATCTACTATTTGTAGATGACAGGATACTCTATACAGAAAATCCAAAAGACTCCACCAAAAAACTGCTAGAATTGATACATGAATTCAGTAAAGTTTCAGGATACAAAATCAATGTACAAAAATCTGTTGCATTTGTATAAACCAATAATGAAGCAGCAGAAACAGAAATCAAGGAATCAATCCCATTTACAACTGCACCCAAAACAATAAGATACCTAGGAATAAATCTAACCAAAGAGATGAAAAGACCTATACTCTGAAAACTATAAAACACCGATGAAAGAAATTGAAGATGACACAAAGAAATGGAAAAACATTCCATACTTAAGAATTGGAAAGCAAATATTGTTAACCTGTCTATACTACCCAAAGCAATCTACACATTTAATGCAATCCCTAGCAAAATATCAATAGCATTTTTCACAGAGCTAGAAAAAACAATCCTAAAATTTGTATGGAACCACAAAAGACCCCGAATAGCCAAAGCAATCTTGAAAAAGAAATGCAAAGCTGGAGGCATCACAATTCCAGACTTCATATTATATTACAAAGCTGTAGTGATCAAGACAATATGGTACTGCCACAAAAACAGACACATAGATCAATGGAACAGAAAAGAAAACCCAGGAATGAACCCAAAACTATATGGCCAAATAATCTTTGACAAAGCAGTAAAGAACATCCAACAGAATAAAGTCTCTTCAACAAATGGTATTGGGAAAACTGGACAGCAACACGCAAGAGAATGAAACTGGACCACTTTCTTACACCATACACCAAAGTAAATTCAAAATGGATTAAAGACCTCAATGTGAGGCAGGAAACCATTAAAATCCTAGAGGAGAACACAAGCAGTAACCTCTTTGACATTGGTCGTAGCAACTTCTCACTAGATATGTCTCCTGAGGCTAGGGAAACAAAAGCAAAAATAAACTATTGAGACTTCATAAAAATATGAAGCTTCTGCACAGTGAAGGAAACAATCAATAAAACTAAAAGGCAACCTACAAAATGGGAGAAGGTTTGCAAATGACATATCTGATAAAGGGTTGGTATCCAAAATCTGTAAAGAACTTATACAACTAAACAGCCAAAAAACAATCCAGTTAAGAAATGGGTAGAAAACATGAATAGACATTTTTCCAAAGAAGACATACAGATGATAAGGGTGCCAAAACCATTCAATGGGGAAAGGACAGGCTTTTAACAAATGCGGTGAAAATTGGATATCCACATGCAAGACAATAAAGCTGGGCTCTTGCTTTACATCATATACAAAAGTTAATCCCAAGTGGATCAAAGACCTAAATGTAAGACCTAAAACTGAATTATTTTTAGTTGTTAACATAGAGAAAAAAAATCCTCATAACATTGACTTTAGCAATGATTTATTGGTTATAATACTATAAAACATAGACAACAAAAGAGGAAGTAAAAAAACTGAATTTCATGAAAATTAAAAACTTCTATGCATTAAAGATTAAAATCATCAAAATAAAAAAGAAACCCACAAAACGGGGTAAAACATCTGCAAATCATGCATCTGAAAATGCATATATATCCAGAATATATAAAGAACTCCTACAACTCAGTAAGAACACAATTTAAAAATAGACAAAGGTCTTGAATACACATTTTTCCAAAGAAGAGATACAAATGTCCAACAAGCATGAAAAGATGTTCAACATCACTAATCATTAGGGAAATGCAAATCAAAACCACAAAATGCCACTTCATACTCATTAGGATGGCTACTGTTAAAAAAAAGAAAGAAAAGGGTGGCTGGGTGGCTCAGTTGGTTGAGCATCCAACTCTTGATTTCAGCTCAGGTCATGATCCCAGGGTTGTGGGACTGAGCCCCATGTTGGGCTCTGAACTGAGTGTGGGGCCTGCTCAAGAGTCTCTCTCTCCCTCTGCCCTTCTCCCCTGCTCCCGCGCTCTCTAAAATAAAAAAGGGAGGGGCGCCTGGGTGGCGCAGTCGGTTAAGCATCCGACTTCAGCCAGGTCACGATCTCGCGGTCCGTGAGTTCGAGCCCTGCGTCAGGCTCTGGGCTGATGGCTCAGAGCCTGGAGCCTGTTTCCGATTCTGTGTCTCCCTCTCTCTCTGCCCCTCCCCCGTTCATGCTCTGTCTCTCTCTGTCCCAAAAATAAATAAACGTTGAAAAAAAATTTTTTTAAAAATAAAATAAAATAAAATAAAATAAAAAAGGGAAAAAAAGATTAAAAACAAACAAGAAAAGAACAGGTGTTGGTGAAAATGTGGGGAAACTGGAACCCTTGGCACTGTTGGTGAGAACGTAAAATGGGAGAGCCTCTGTGGAAAACAGTATAACAGTTCCTCAAAAATTAAAAATAAAATTACCATAAGATCCAGCAATTCCACTTCTCAGTATATACCCAAAAGAATTGAAAGCAAGGTTTCAAACAGGTATTTTTACCCATATGTTCATAGGAGCATTATTTACAATAGCCAAAAGATGGAAGCAACCAAAACATATGTCATTAAATGGATAAACAAAATGTGATATATACATACAATAGAATATTATTTCACTTTTAAAAAGGAAGAAATTGTGGGGCACCTGGGTGGCTCAGTTAGTTAAGCATCAGACTCTTGATTTTGGGCTCAGGTCATGATCTTATGGTTCATGAGTTCAAGTCCCGTGTTGGGCTCTGTGCTGACAGCATGGAGCCTGCTTGGGATTCTCTCTCCTTCTCTGCCCCTCCCTGGCTTGCTCGCTCTCTCTCTTTCTCTCTCAAAATAAATAAGCAAACATTAAAGAAAAAGGAAATTGTGACACACGCTACAAGATGAATGAACTTTGATTACCCCTTGTGAAATAAGCCAGTCAAAAGAAGACAAACGCTGTATGATTCTACTTATATAAGGTACTTACAGCAGTGCAAGTCACAGAGAGAAGGTGGAATGATGGTTATTGAGACTGGGGAAAGGGAGAATGGAGAATTACTGTTTAATGTGTATAGTTTCAGAGTTCTATGGCAAGATGCTGGTGACGGTAGCACAACACTATGAAAGTACTTAATGATAGTGAATAGACAGTACTTTAAAAACAGTTAAGAGTAAATTTTGTTATATGTGTCTTACCATAATTAAAATAATTTTGGAGACAAAAGAATAAAATCCTGAATAAGGAAGAGACCTTATAGATAAGTAAAAAGAACTATGGTCCATTAAAAGCAGACAAATGATGTGAAGAGACAATTTTAAAAATAACTGGGTACTAAAGGCATGTAACAAAATCCATCTCATGTGTTCAAAGAAAATTAAGAAAACACATTATGATATTATATTTAATCTACCACATTACCAAAAGGTGTAGATGCATCCTTTCTCATTCAGAGGGAGTGTATATGGGTATAAAATTAGAGCAACATGGTAGTGAGTAACTAGATCCTTTAACAGTACACAGGATCCCTGTCCAGCAATACAGCAGGCTAGTTAAAATGACAAACCAGACATATTAAAACAAACAAACTTAAGATGTTGTGTAAAAGAGAGAAAATATCTTTTTAGATGTGTTGCAAATCTGGCAAAAAATTAAGGTAAACTCCCAGAGGTCAAAAAGACTTCAAAAGTTACTTTTGAGTCAGTAAGGGGCAACTGTTTAACCTGGATCAGTTTAAAGCATCAGTTTAACCTGGATGAGAAAGAAGGTCATAGGTACATCTAACTGGAGTTTTAGGAAAAGAAAATACAGTGAATAGGGGAGTAATAATATGTGAAGAAATAACCATTGATCATTACCCAGAAACTGTTAAG